GCGGGGGGCCCTGGAGGGGGGGGGGCAGCCAGAAACGGGGTGAGGCTGGGGACGCACGGAGGGGTGCAGCTGGTGAGGGGGCGGTGCCGGCGAGCGGAAGGACTCGAGGAAGGCGGGTCGGAGAGATTGCGCGTGCGCCGTGGCGCGGGCGAGCCCCGGCCGCCATCTTGACTGAGGGCAGGATCCAGGGCCCTGAAATACAGTAGTGAAGCGCAGGGTGCTAATCTTAGGGAGGGTTGGCTGCGGGAGCTGGGTAAGAGTCCTTGAAAAACCGCCATTACTTACCTTTCTTCGAAGACCTTCTCCCCACCGCTTCGCGTCCGCAGCACCGAGCGGAGCCTGAGTAGTTCATACCGGGCCCTTTCACCCAACTCAGCTGACGTCGTCTTTTCTTGAGCTTTGCATCGAGCCCAGATCTGCGGATGTGGGGTTAGCTGGGGCAAGGAGTGAACTTTCTTTGCGCACTCCTGTCTCGTCAGTCAGCCAGTCTGAAAACGAGTGTACTCAGAGCGGGTCCTGAGTAGTCCTCGATGCCGACTGCTCACTTCCCTGCCTAAGTCAGGCGCGCACCGCAAACCCAGTTTCCTGTTCTTTGCCTTCTACCGAATCCGATCTCCGGCCATCTCTAACACTGGCCTCCGCCTCAAAGAGAGACTAGCACTCACCTCAGCAGGAGGCTAGATTCGTTAGAGACTTGGCCCTCTTAGAAGCTGGCCTTTGGGCCAGGCGGCGGCTGGAAAGTGAAAACTTGAACCGGTCTTCCAGTGTAACCATTAGGGAGGGGTCTTGCTAAAGATGAACTGTGCAGCTGCGCTCAATGGAGGGAAATGCTCATTCCGCTTACGTCCTGATTTCTGCTAAAGGTGCTATCACAAAGTGAGTTTAGGACGGTTAGTGGTGATACCAAAAGAAAGAAATGATTACGATGAAAAAGAACAGTGATTCCCAACCACTTAAAAATACTGACTTTCTTTATTACTGTTATTTTTTTTTTTTGAGAGATTTTCACTGTAGGGCGCGCGCATGCGCTCGCCAGACAGAGAGAGACATAGAGACAGAAAGCAAGAAATCACCCCGCAGGGGGGGATGGTCACGCCGCAATCCCTTCTCCTCCATTCTCCTCTCGGGATCTTGGGCACGCACGCACGCACACGCGCCCAGCGTGAGTTTTAAGCCACCGGGTCCGGGACACGAACCGCGGTCGACTACGTGGGAGTCCAGCGACATAGCCATTACGCTAACTGCTGGTTCCCTATTACTGTTATTTTTAAAGATAGTATTTAATTTTAATTTTATTATTATCATCATTCTTTAGTTTTGACAGAGCAAGCAAGCCGCCAGGTCCAGGACTTGACCCATGGTTGGCCATATGGGAGTCCAGTGCCTCAATCACCAGGCCACCTGCCAGCTCCTGTCATTATTTTTAAGTTTGCTATAGGGCACATGGACTTACTAGACATACATACATACATACAGAGAGAGAGAGAGAGAGAGAAAGCAAGCCACCAGGTCCAGGACTTGAACATCCTCCGGGGGTGAGGTGGGGGATGGCCACACTACAATCCCTTCTCCTCTATTTTCCTCTAGGGATTTTGGGCACACATGCACACGTGTCTGGCATGAATTTCAAGCCACCAGATCCAGGACGCGAACCGCGATAAGCCATGTGGGAGTTCAAAGCCCTTAACCACCGTGCAACCTGCTGGCCCCGCCACCACTTTTTTTTTTTTTTAAGCATACTTACTTAGTATTTCTTCCTTGAGCAAGAGACAGGCACCTCCAACAGAACCTTTGTCAGTTCCACTTCCCCCATCTCTAGCCAACCAGGATCATAGATGGCTTCTGCACCTGCGGTGTACAGGAGGAGCACCTGATGCTCATCAGAACCTCGAGCATTTCAGTATGCTGGCCCCTGACTATTCTTGTACACAAATTCCTTCCTTCCTTTCTTCCTTTATTTTTGTTTTAGTTAATTATCTTTTAAATTCTATTTGTTATTATTATTTTTTAATTTGACCAGACAGAGACAGAGAGAGAATGGGAAAGCAAGAAAGCAAGCTGCCAGGTCCAGGGCTCAAACTGCGGTCAGCCGTGTGGGAATTCAGTGCCTTGAACCACCATACCACCTGCTGCCCCCCCCCTTTTTTAATGAGAGAGAAGGATAGAAAGGGAGAGGTATTTTTTGGCAGGTTTTCATGTTGTGCCTCAGTCTCCCAGTTAGCTAGGATTACAGATAGACATTACTGTAAATTGGGGTGGAAAAATTTCCATTTCCCTGAGCACTCTACATTTTGAGCCATTGAAAGGAACTTTCTTGCACTCTTAGAATTATTCCAAAATTGATACAAAATAGAGAGAAATAAGTTTAAATTAAAAAAAAAATCAGCTCATACTTTTTTTTTTTTTTTAAGGTTTTTGCCATAGGGTGCATGTGCTTGCCCGAGAGACAGAGAGGAAAAGTGAAACCTCACTTTGCAAGAGTGATGGCCACACCACAATCCCTTTGCCTCCATTCTCCTTCTGGGATCTTGGACACGTGTGCACATCCACCCAGCATGAGTTTCAAGCCACCAGGTCCAGGACTCACTGCAGTTGGTCACGTGGGAGTCCAGAACTTTAACCACCGTATCACTTACTGGTCCCAGCTCATACTTCTTTTTACAAGTTCACACAATACCCAAATATAAAATACAAAGAAGTCTTCTCCTCTATTCTCCCATGCTCCTGAAAGTAGTCCTTCATATAATTTTGATGTATATATCTTTAGACCTTTTCTGTGTTCATACAAAAATATTTCATCCAGGGACCAGCAGTTAGCATAATGGCTATGTTGCTGAACTCCCATGTAGCCGACTGCGGTTCAAGTCCCAGACCCGGTGGTTTAAACTCACGCCGGTGTGCGTGCGTGCGTGCCCAAGATCCCAAGAGGAGAATGGAGAAGGGATTACGGTGTGGCCATACCCCCTGGGGGATGATTTCTTGCTTTCCATCTCTCTGTCTTTCTGGCGAGCACACGTGCCCTATAGCAAAAAAACTCTCAAAAAAAAAAATGTTTCATCCAGTGAATACTTTCTGAGCATCTGTAATGTGCCACACAGTGTATTTTAACAATTAAGTCAGTTCACACTTTTACGCATGCTGTGCAGAGCCCAGCTAAGGTGGTGCAAGCAGGTGGGGGCACTGCTGTGTGAAGCTAGAGCTGCAGAGGAGACCTGCTCAGATCTGGGAACCACTCCAGACCATAGCGGAGTGTACCTGTAATTCTAACTAACTGAGAGCCTGAGGCACAACCTGGTGGGACCCTGCCAGAAACACCTGTCTCCCTCCCTTTCACGCTCACTGAAAAAAAATTTAACTGTTGTGGGATCAGCTGGTGGTGTGGTGGTTAAGGCAGCTAAATGGGTCCTTCATGGCCAACTGCAGGCTTAAGCCTGGGTCCTGTGGCTTGAAAAAGCACACAGGGCACATGTATGCATGTGTGCCCCAAATCCCAAGATGAGAATGGAGAAGTTGCCATAGTGGGCCATGTGGGAGTCCAGTGCTCTTAACCACCACACCACCTGCTAGCCCCAATGATTTCTTTACATGGATTTTTTTTTTTAAGACAGATTTTTGCTATAGGACACATGTGCTGGCAAGATAGACAGAGAGAGATGGAGAGATAGAAAGCAAGAAATCTCCCCCTAGGAGAGATGGCCATGTTGCAATCCCTTCTCTTCCATTCTCCTCTCAGGGTTTTGGGCACGCATGTACATGTGCCCAGCATGAGCTTTAAGCCACCAGGTCCAGGATCATGGTCAACTATGTGGGAGTCCAGCAATGTAACCATTACATCATCTGTTGGTCCCTTTACAGAGAATTTTTAAAGATATATACTTTTTTTCTTTTTTTAAAGAATTATATATTTTATTTTATTTTTTGTTATTATTATTATTTAAATTTAACCAGAGAGAGAGACAGAGAGAAAGAGAAAGGGAAAGTGAGAAAACAAATCACCAGGTCCAGGACTTGAACCATGGTCAGCTATGTGGGAGTCTAACACCTTAACCACTGCGCCACCTGCTGACCCTGTAAAAGATACATTTTAATGTTTTTTTTTTTAATTTTTTAAATTTATTTTTATTTTTTTGAGAGTTTTTCGCTGTAGGGCGCTTGTGCTCGCCAGACAGACGGAGAGAGACAGAGAGACAGAAAGCGAGAAATCACCCCCCAGGGGGGGATGGTCACACTGCAATCCCTTCTCCTCCATTCTCCTCTCGGGATCTTGGGCACGCACGCACACGCACCCGGCGTGAGTTCTAAGCCACCAGGTCTGGGACGTGAACCACAGTCGACTACGTGGGAGTCCAGCGACATAGCCATAACGCTAATTGCTGGTTCCCACATTTTAATGTTTTTGTCATAGGGTGTGTTCAAGTGAAGAGAGAAGAGAGACAGAGAGACAAAAGAAAAGTAAGAAATCACCTTCTGTGGGGATGGTTATGCTGCAGTCCCTTTTCCTGGGATTATGGGCATACACACACACACCTGGCATGCTTTTTTTTTTTTTTTTAAAGAATTTTTCTTTTTTTTTTATTTGTTATTATTATTATTTTAAATTTGACCAGAGAGAGACAGAGAAGAAGGAAAAATGAGAAAACAAGCCACCAGGTCCAGGACTCAAACCATGGTCAACCATGTAAGAGTTCAGCACTTTAACTACTGCACCACCTGCTGGCCCCACACTGGGCATGATTTTTAAGCTACCAGGTCCAGGACTCTGCAGTCTGCCATGTGGGAATCCAGTACCTTAACCACTATGCCACCTGCTGGCTCAGTTTTTTTTAATTTTACATTGTCAAATCATCTTGTGGCTTTTGGGTTCACATGACTTGCTACCTCAAGATTACTAAAATATTTCCCTGATCTTCCTCCTGGTATATTCTTTTTTAAAAAATAATTATTTTAAATTTTTTATTAATTTTTATTTTTCAATTTGCTGTAGGACATGTATACTCAAGAGAGAGAAAGCAAGAAAGCAAGCCACAGGTCTGGGACTGAAACAGTGGTGGGCCGGCCATGTGGGAGTCCAGTACCTCAACCACCGTGCCACCTGCTGGCCCTCCTGGTGTCCTTATAGTTGCATATTTTCAGTTCTTGTCTATCTGTCCTTCCGTCCGTCCTTCCTTCCTTCCTTCCTTCCTTCTCACTCACTCTCACCCACTCTTTCTTTCTTTGTCTTTCTGTCTTTCTTCTTTCTTTTGCTATAGGGCAAATGTACTCACCAGAGAGAGAGGCAGAGTGAGAAGGAAAGTGAGAAATCACCTCCCGGGGAAATGACCATGGCACAGTCTCTTCTCCTCCAGTCTCCACTCCAGATTTCAGACTGTGCCCATCATGATTTTCAAGCCACTGGGTCCAGAATTGGAACTGCACGGTGGGTCATGTGGGATCCAGCATCTTACATCGATGCCATCTGCTGGCCTCAGTTTTTGTGCAGAGTGAGTAGTGAGAAATGTGAGACTTAACAAGGGTAAGTGATGCAGGGGGAGAGGCACTAGCCAACAAGACAGAAATAGGGCCAAATGGTGGTGCAGTAGTAATACAATTAGACCCACATGGGAACGGGCTTGGGTTAGGGTCCCAGGACATGTTAGGCACTTGTACACCTACCCATGATCTAGTTGGCTGGGATGGGGTGGGTCACAGTGTGGAGACCCCATTGGGGGTAACTGTTTTTTCCCTTCCCTTCCCTTCCCTTCTCTTCCCTCCCCCTTTTTACCTTCCTTCTTTCCTTCCTTCCTTTTTTTAAATTTAAATTTTATTTGTTATTATTATTATTTTTTATTTTGACCACAGAGACAGATAGAGAGAAAGGACAAGTGAGAAAGCAAGCCACCAGGTCCAGGATTCGAACCACAGTCGGCCATGTGGAAGTCCAACACCTTAATCACCACACTACCTGCCGGCCCATCTTTCTTTCTTT